ACAAGGAGGCAGACCTATGAGGACAGGTGTGATATTGACTTGCAATGAGATAGTCCATTCGAGTGCCATTAAGATGTGTAGGAGGCAAGTAGTTGGTCACAATAGAAATACGGGGAAAAATCTAGGACGTCATATTCTCCACAAGGGTGAGAAGATGACTTTTCATTACCAGCCGGTGGTTAGTGGGCGATTGGAGAAGGTTGCTAAAGGAGATGTCAAACTTAGAGTTTCCGAGGTTACTTTTGGCAAGCATTCAGAGTTTAACAAAAATACTGGAGGTATGCTTGTGGCTACGCAAGGCATGCATAGGTTGACAATTGATAGCCCAATGGTTAAGTTTGAGGATGACTCAAACTTAACTAAAATTCTTAATTAATATGTTTTTTTGTGGAGAAGACAGTTTGTTTAGCAGAAATATAGTGGCGCATCTGAATTTTCACCAAGGTGGAGATTTGTTGAAAGCTGTGGCTCAAATTTGCCAACTCGCCATGTCATAGCTCATCACTTACATCATCAGCTTGCCCTCCAAGTATGTGTGACCACCAAGCTGTGTTTGAAAAGTCTTTTGGTGTCAGCCCATGCACTTGATTAACAAGCATAAATTGCTTTTGTTTGGTTATAAATAGCCTATGCCCATATGTTATTTGATCATCCGAAAATCATTCATCAGTTGAGTGAGTGAGTTTGTAATAATATCAATTAGAGAGTGAGAGACTTTGGGTGTAAATTAGGTTTTGGGTGTAAGCCACTTTGTCTTGTATCTCTTTATTTCCATAATGAAATATTGTTTTGTTTTCTCCCCGTGGACGTACGCATAGTCAAACCACGTAAATCCTTATCTCGTTTGTGTGTGCGCTATTTTATTTTCTTGTAATTTATTTTTCTCTTGTTCTTATAAACTCCTACTCGATCCTTTTTTCATAACAATTACAAAAATAAATTCGGTTCAACCTTTATTGGCGTAATTGGTAGAGCGCCTAACTCTTCGAACGGATGTACCCCAAATGAGTTCCAATCAACAAATCACCACCCAAAATCGAGGAAAGTTGGGCCTCAAATTTTTTATAACTTTCCATTTATGGTACTAAATTATTGTTATCCAGCTTGCTAGGATTAAAAAATAAATAAATAATAGAAATGACACCTATGGTAAAACCGTAAAAGAGTTCCATTCAAACTAACATCACCCAAAACCGGTGGAAGAGGAGCGGGGGTGTGCTAGAAACTTTTCTTAAAACTCAATTAATAGTACTAATTTATTATTAATAATGGTGATTTTGTATTTAAAAAAATTAAAGCTGGCCTCCTCAAAATTTTAAAACTTCTTATTTGAGACCATATCCAATACAAAATGCTATTTTTGCATGCCAAAATTATATTTTGAGAGGTGCTACAAAGTTAGAATGCTATATTTTAGCAATTTTGCTCCAATGGTGCATTTTATCCAAAATGCTATTTTTTGACACAACCACCATTTTTTTTTTCAACTACCATTCTTTTTCAACTATAATGATGATGCTCTAAGATATTGAGCTTCGACAATTTTTTATTGCTATTTTTTTTTCCCCTCAACAACTAAACAGATCATTTTTTATTACTAATCCTACAATATGGCTGAAATGCATAATTGTTTTCTCTTTGAACTGAAAATTCATCTGGAATAAGCAATTTCTTATCAAATCAGTTACCTGGTATGATATTGACCTCTGAGAAATAGGGTTATTATTATTTTTTTTAACCTGGCAAGAAAGCAACCATATGATATCTACAGGGCAAGAACATGGAACCATATCAAAACGCATAAACACAATTAGTGCCAAAAAACACATAACGATTCAAAACTAACACTCTCAAATGTCAAGATAGCATTCTTGACAATAACTGATATTGGGAGTGTTAGTACCCACAAACAGAGCACTAGATTGTTTAGAATAGTCATAATTTGGACCCACCAAAGCACCTAAAGATCTTTTATCAAATGACACCGCCTCACACAAATTCCTAAAACACGCATGGCCATGACCCACTAAAAGGCAGAAAAAACTTCCATGACATCAACCATGACGTCATGGCTTTCCCAGCCAAAGAAGCAAAAGTTGACCCTGTCACCAAGCCACCGACAATCACAAACCGGCAAACACCATGATCATGCCGCCGGCGAATGGAGCTGATCCACCAACCATGCCACAGACTGCTTAAACTTAACCCCATGACGAGAAAACACCAACAGCACCATCCAATTTTGAATACCCAACAGAAAAAGTGTACCCCAAATTTCTTCACCACGGGCCACCAAATCAAAGATCTAATCATCCCACGAGGATAACCCAGATTCGCCGGCAACCAAGAAGTAGGAGAAATTGATTTCGCCAACCAAGCCCGAAACAGTGAAGCCTTCACCCGGAAAGAGAAATGAGGCAAACCAAGAAATCTGAAAGGCAAAACACACCAAGATAAAATTAACACTAACATAGAAACACAAAAACTTATAGCGATACCCGGATTGAAAGGAAAAGTTTGCACTAATTGGTCGTCAATTCTTCCAAAACGTAGAACCCCCTGCTGTACATCTCGCTGCACACTTTTGCCGTTCCGGCAAGGAGATAAAGGAATACCCAAGATCACCAGAGAGGAAACCATCAGAAGCAAAAGAACTATAATAGAAGCAAACCAAAGAAAACAATCTACAAGAGTATTAGAGACAAGGAAAGATAAGGAAAGGAGAAAGAAAAATAGACCAAGAGGAAATCCAAAGAAATCACTCCGACAAGCGGAGAACCTCTTAAGAATAGAGAAACCCCCTATGCAAAGGGGAGACGTCTTGAGAAAAAGTAGTGAAATCTAAAATGGGATTCTAGAGAAAGAAATATCACAATTCTGAATCAGAAAATATCATTAATTATAAATCATTATCAATTAAGAAAGAGAGAAACCAACAGCACAACCAATCACTTTCACTGCAAACAAAAACACAATCCCTAATTTGAATGAACACAATTCCCCTCTTGCTTGTGTCCACAACTCTATAAATAAGTAATGACACATCACTCATAAATAATAAATCAACTAATTCACCACAAATCTATAATAAATTAATCATCCCCGTGCAACCAACAAAAGTATGTCGACCCTATTAGATTATGCCATCGAAATTCAGGAATTTTGAATCTTAATTGTGGATAAAGAGTAAAAGAGATGAACAACTATATATATATATATATATATATGCATGTGTATATATAGAATTTTAAGGTTATATATAGAGAGAGATGAAATAGAAATTGGAAAGTAAATGGGGAAATGAGTTTTGCACAGATTAAAATAAACATACCAAGAATCAGATTCCAAGGCGATGTGAAGCACTTGATTGATAAACATTTAATAGCTGCCGCACATTAGGCGTCTTGGCGGTGCGGAGGTGGTGCACCAGAGCCGGAATCACCTGCGGAAAGAGGCAGTGCGGAGGTGGTGCACCCAGAGCGGAATCACAACTGTGTGTACTTTCTTTCTCTAGATGATGAGGGGGAGAGGAGAGAGGCGAGGGAGAGAATGAAACCCTACAGTAATAGAAGATTTGGCAGCTGATATAGTTTGTGTTATATTTGGCACAAGATTTGACAAAACTATAGTTTGGCAGTCCATTTGACATGCCATTGGAGAGCCCGTTTTAAACCTACCTGTTATATTTTTGAAATTGACAGTCCATTGGAGTTGCTATAAGGTACTAAATTATTAAAGTTGACCTCCTCTGATTTATTGTTATTAATGGTGATTTTGTTTAAATAAAAAAAATTAAAGCCAAGTCCTCAAATTTTTTAAAATGGGAAGATTTAAAAAAATTGAGGAGAATAGCTTTAACTTTTTTAATACAAAATCACCATTAATAACAATCAATTAGTACTATTACTATAGTTTTGAAAAGGGAGGCTGTATTTTCACTACACTTTTCTCCCATTACTGTCCATTTACCTTTTTCTTTTAAAGCAAATCACAAAAATATATTTAAATTCATTAATGCATCATTCATTATTTTAAATGCTATTAGTACCACTTTCTAACTTCTTCTTCTTATTCTTCTTTTTTTTTTTTTTTTTTTTTTTTTTTTTTTTTTTTTTTTTGTCTTGTCAGAAAAGACATAAAATAGTAATAAAGATTAGAAACAAAGAGAGAAAATCCGAAAGGAATAGAATAGCCATTTTTTAAAGTTTAGAGTGCAAATCTAAAAAAGTAGGGTGTGAACATTGCATCACTTTTGAAAAATTATCTCTGTATTTACGACAACAACAAAAAAATGTCTTCCCCGTTCATGGTACTAAATTACTAAATTATTTTCAAGCTTTGCACACTCTCAGCCTTTTAATCACTAACCCCATTTTTGCCATTAAAAAAGAAAAAAGAGTTGGTTTGCAAAAATAAAATAAAATATAGTGAAAAAAGTGTCATATAACTTATTAGTATTATATATATATATATATATATATATATATATATATATATATATATATAGTATTTGTTATGCATTAAAGAAAGAAGAAAAAGTGTCATGTAATAATCTCATTTATGATCTGTCAATGATCTCTCTCCATTTATTTTTTACTCATATCATTTATAGATACATGTTCAAAAAATATACATTAAAAATGTACTAAAATAAAAATCGTTACAACTATGTAATTTTTATTTTTAAAAATTAAATTTTGTATTATAAATTTGGCCCCCGAATAATTTTTCTTGGCCCCCAAATTTGTTTAAATCCACCGTCCTGTCCTGCCTCGCCCTCCCACAATCTATGACTTTAAAAAGTTTATATGTTTATTATTTTCTTAAAAAATTACATCTCCAGTATTTTCTTAAATAGTAACAAAAGAAATCCAATATAAAAAAAAATAAATAAATAAATAAAGAAAAATAAAGAAAAAAAAAATAAACAAACTCGATTAATATATTTAATAAGAAACTCTATTTAATTAGTTTCTTTGGGTATGAGAAGTGCCAATCCAATCTTCATTACCAATCACAGCGGTAAATATATTCACACGCGCGCGCGAGCGCACACACAAATATACGCATATTTCTGAACCCCAATTCATTTCTCTGCGTCGTAACATTTGTTACTTATTCGATCTAACAGTACAAGTATTGAAGAAATAGTGGTGCGATTTGGATGGGTTTGAAGGCTGTGTACTGATGTCATTGTTCGGGATTATCATTCGTCAGCTCGCCGAGATTCAAGCAATGGTAAGAAATTACCCGTCTCTTCCTCATTTGGGTTCATGTTCTTAACTGTTTATTATGATTCATTTTACAATTTATAGAGAGATTAACAAACTGTATACTGAATTATAAGTTATAACGATCTGATATTTAGGTATAGGTACTGAATTTTAGGGTTTTGGTTTCATTTTTTTTTAACCATTTGTTATGATTCATTTTGCTGTTTATGGAGATATTAACAATTTGTATACTGAATTATAAGTTATAGCGATCTGATATTTGGTTATTGGTGCTGATTTTAGGGTTTATATGAAAACGAAGATGCTTTGGTTCTGTACCCATTCATGTTGATTGTTCTGTGAAAAAAAAAAAAAAGCAGCAGTACGCACAAACAATAAAACTCAATTGAGCCATTCAATGCACATTGAAGTAAATGGATAGGACATGTAGGGTTAAATTTAGATGTCATTAGTTTTTTCCATCTGATATTTGGGTATGGGTACGGAATTTTAGGGTTTATATCAAAACGAAGAGGCTTTGGTTCTGTACTCATTCACGTTGATTGTTCTGTGAGAAGAAAAAAAAAACACATACACACAAACAATGAAACTCAATGTGCCATTGAAGACTTGAAGTAAATGGATGTGACATTTAGGGTTAAATTTGGATGGATGTAACATTTAGGGTAAATTGAGATGGCATTAGTTTTTTTCTATGTTTTTAACTATTTATTATGATTCATTATACTGTGTATAGAGATATTAACAAATTTTATACTGAATTCTAAGTTAGGTACTGAATTTAAGGGTTTATATGAAAACGAAGAGGCTTTGGTTCTGTACCCATTCATGTTGATTGTTCTGTGAGAAGAAAAAACATATACACAAATAATAAAACTCAATTATGCCATTCAATGCTCATTGAAGTATAAATCGATATGACATTTAGGGTTAAATTTAGATGGCATTAGTTTGTTTTCCTTGAGCAAATAGAATTATAGCAACTGGGTAAGAATTTGGTTGGCAATTTCTGAGGAAATGCTTGCTTCACATGTATTGTTATGGTTTTGTTTCAGTGACAATGGTCTCTCCATTTTTGTGAAAAAAGAAATTGTGATCCCTTCCCCTAAATTTTAAATTTGAAAAACTTAAAATAGAATATCCATAACAGTAACAGTTTTTCATTGCATCTTAAAGATACGGAACCCCCTATTCTTTTGATTCTGAATTTATTACTCAGATGAAAGAATGAGGACTTAAATCTTCCTTACCACTTTTGTTTTTTATATCATTTTTGTGCAAAATATTGTCAGATAGTGTTGGATCAAAGATTTTCTTGAATTGGTGCTGTTTTAATTTACACTACCAATTCTAATATTTACATCAATTCCTCATTTACAATGATTGATTTGCTTTCAAAAATCATATATAGAAGACCAAGTTAACAACTTAGCTACTGTAGGGTGTACAAAGATGCGCTCAATACTTTTTTTACTAGAATTTTTATGATCTCCATCTCTTTTTTTTTTTTTTTCTTTCTTTCAGGCTACTTCAAAGAAGGTTATTACGAAGGAGGAGTGGGAGAAAAAGCTCAACAGTGTAAAGATTAGGAAAGAAGATATGAATAAATTGGTCATGAACTTTCTTGTCACTGAGGGCTATGTTGACGTTGCAGAAAAGTTCAGGATGGAATCCGGAACTGAACGTATCCTTTCATTTTTCTTCATGTCTATTTGTGTGTAATTGTTTTTCCGATGGTGGCTTTGTTCATTTTTAACATGTACTTCTCCTTATAAATAAATAGCAGACATAGATCTTGCGACAATAACAGATCGTATGGCAGTTAAAAAGGCAGTACAAAATGGGAATGTTGAGGATGCAATTGAAAAAGTTAATGATTTGAATCCCGAGGTTGGATTTTATATCTGTTACTCTATCATCGTCATCATGAAGCACCTCTTCTTTTTTTCGTTTTTGCCCCCCCTCCCCCTCCTGCTAAGTAAGGAAGTATATTTTTTGTGACAAAAAAAAAATTCTAAAACATAGTTTTCGTATATGGCATATGACAATTTTCCTGAAATTCTGTGAGCGCTAACTGCTTCAATCTAGTAATGTTCGAACGCTGAAACAGTATTTAGGTTATTTCTCCTTTTCCTTGGTCAATTTTTCAATTTAATAAATTTGGGTATTTGTAAATAAAAAAGTGATTTAATTTCACTCATTTGGGTTTTGATGTTAGTCCATATCCTATTTTTCTCGAGTCTCATTAAGGATATGATGAAACTTCAAATGAAATTGTTTAAATAAATTAGAAATAATTATTAGGGTTAAGATGACAAAATCCCCCTCTACTTTCAAATTTGTGCATAAAACCCCCAATAGAATTAAAAAAAGTTATCACATTGCTCCCATTTACGTTACTCTGCCGTCAATAGGGAGCACGTGTTTAATCATTTTATTCTGAAAATGCCCCTATGGCCAACACGAGACTGGCGCCCACACATTGATTATCACAGAAGCTATAACAAAACAAAGAGTCATACTTTTGCATTTGTAAATGATCTCAAATTCAATTCATCTATTCCCACTATTCAAAACGTAGATAAAACAAAATAGAACAGAGCTGAAAATTAAAAAAAAATCACAACATGAAGAACTCGGGCCACCCTGCGAACATTGAACAGCCTCTCTGCTCGCTGATTCACTGCCATTGCCTTTGTCCCTCGTGATTTCCATTTCCTATTCCACTGGCACCTTGCCGGAACTACCCGGAGAACTCCGAGTTACTAGGAATCTAGGTAAATATGTTGGCTTGGGCTCAGGGCCGTCCTTACTGAATTCTCGGTTTCGTCCTTTGGTCACGTACACGGTAGAGAGTCCGGTCATAACAATTCTGTTCCAGCTGACGCTCTTGCGTTGGTGATTCTCTGATGATTCCGCCGCCATTGCTGTTAATGCTATTTCTTATATAAACATACACACATTTACACACACACACACACACACACGTGTATATATATATAGAGAGAGAGAGTATAGAGAAAACAGAGATGTGGATCGCTTTTATGGAAATTACTAATTAGAAATTTAGAAACCCTAATAAAGAGTCGTAGTTAAAGGGAGAGACTTAATGGTGTTTTGCGAATACGTTCTTTTCACATGGACGACTGCTATTAGGGTTTTCAGGGGTGGTCGGAAAGATAATCTTTGCTGTGTGTGTATATATATATATATCATATACAGGGTGTGTGTGTGTATATATATTATGCACAAGTTTGAAAGTAGAGGGGGTTGTGTGTGTATATATCATATACGGGGTGTGTATATATTTTTATGATTTTTAAATTTCACATTATATGATAAGGTTAATTTTGTCATTTAACATTGACTTAATGGATCTAGGGGCAATGTGATAATGTTTTTTAATTCTATCGGGGGGTTTTATGCACAAATTTGGAAGTGGAGGGGGGGTTTTGTGATTTTAAGCCTAATTATTAACATGTTACATAAAACTCTTTGATGTGGGATCAACCTCTATCTGCCTGAACTTCTAATTAAATTATGCCACATTCTTTTGTGTACATGTATTGATCTTCTCAGTAGATATTGGCACTAGATTTACAAGTTCTGTTGAGAGTTAGAGGTTTCAGCTTGTTGGATATTTTTTTAGAACTAAATCTTTTATTTGTGTTAGTATTTTATATATTTCTTTGAGTGAGTCATCTTAAATATTTTTTTTGGTGACTTCAATGTCCATTGAAGGTAGTTTATCGATTTGAACACTGTAGAAGCAAATTAAATAACATCGGCTAACAAATTTTTAAGAAAGAAATTATTAGTGTTGGCATATGATATCATTAAGACTATTAAAGAAGGCCCTGCAAAATACAAATATAAAAATAGGCAATTGTTATTTACATAAGTTTCACATCAATACTCTTTGAAGACCATAAAAAATCATTGACCAGCGTCAGTACATCTATGCAGCGTGTTCCTAGGGATTTACACAGATTTAATCTTTGGTATTATTTGCATAAAATGATCGCTCTTGAGTTGAAATATGTCTTTTACAGTGGACAGTCCAAGCTTTTACCATTGCACCAAGCATTGCATGTTACCCATCTTTACTCAATAAGTAATACAATAAAGCGAAAATTTACAAGTTTGTAAGCATTACGGAAGCAGTATGAAACGACTAATTATGTCATATATATCTATTTTAGCACAGTATAAGCCTATAAGAACATGCATCAAATGCATTGTCCCCCTTTGAAATTACAAAACTAGCCCACAGAATTCAAATACTTGGTTCTTTGATCTGAAAAATTCAAGACCTAGTGGACAATTTGGAGAACTTTAAATTTGAAACATCCCAAAAAGGAAAAGTGGACACTTATTTTGGGACATCTCGAAAAAAAAAGCATGACACTTATTATGGGATAAAGGGAGGTTTTTTTTCCTCAATGAAAAAGACCCAAGTCATTTCATAAGGTCCTATAATTGTATTTCTTTACTTGGAAAAATTATTATATCTTCCAGTATTAGCCATTTTAAGAAACGTAAACCAAGTGTTCAGAAATCATTAGTTTATTGGTGTTTTGGTACACTGTTTCAGTTGCAAGGCATCTTAAAATTTACCATATCTTTGTTAGGAAATCATTAATTAATTCTTCCATATTTAGCAACAAACACTATCTGCATTATGGGATTAAATAAAAATGATGGTATTTTCCTTGCAGGTTTTGACAGTCTACTTAAATACAGTATATAGGAAACTTCACGAGTCGTCACATTGTGGCTGATTGTTGACCAAACACTCCATCAACCCATGTTTGAGGATTGTTCAGGATACTATTACACTCAAAAACATCCCACTTTTATATAACAAAAAGAAAATGCAAAACTTCAGAGGTGCTGTGTTTTCTGTTGAGGAATTTATTATATGATATAGTTGCTATGTATAGTTTGAGAGTATAGTGGGTTTAGACATGGTCTCTTGTGCAGTTGTTCTTTCGGCACACTCCCCATGCAGCATTCTTCAATGAAATTTTTACTTACAACAAAAAATAAAAATACTTATGGTATAGTTGCTATTATGAATTTATGACATTGTTTACTCCACATTCTTTTGGCTTGCTTACATTTGTTTGAACATAGACAATCAGTTATTCAATAATATTAGTAATTTAGTTATACACACACACACATACATATCCTTGCCCCTTTGTCTGGATACTTGGGTGGTCTCTTTTCTGTTTCAAAACATGATACTCTCTGTTTGTCCAGTAATCATATGTTTTGTGAGTCTTTATCTGACAAAGGTATCCACTACACTGTTAGTGCCGAATCGATGCGAAGCATGGGCATTGTTGCCTATTTTCTAATGCTTGTTTGATGTCTAAGGAGAATTTGCTGGCCCCAAGTTGTAGGGGTGCATCATTATTTTATGTGGTCCTTGTTACCTAAATGAGTTTTACACAGAAGATTTGCATTGCTGTTGTAGCATAGTTGTGGAAATTAACAGAGTATGTGCATAACTTGTTGACTCTTGACAATTTTACAATATTAATGTAGTATAGGGAGGGACTTTATATCATCATTTTTACTTTATAGTTATTTTGCCTGACATTTTAATTCCTTTGTGAGATTTCATATAGTTTGTAGGATCTTACAAATATGTACCCATTTAAAAAAGGTCCACTGCTATTGTAACATAGTTGTGGGAATTAAAGGAGCAAATTTTTTTTGTATTTTTTGGAAGGTTAAGCAAACTCACACACCTATGCCTCCACTGAGGCTCGAACCCCTAAAGGAGCATGTTGTCTGTGCCTAATATGTTGACTTTGACAATTTTGGAGCAGTGTAAAGAGAAGCCGTTGACTTTGATCATCTCGTCATCTGTACTTTCTTGTACTGTTGGCTGAGATGAGAATCTTTAGTGTGATTTTATATAGTTTGTACTAATATCAGTGACATTGACATGTGCATTCTATAAGCATTGTCATCATATTTGCTAATTTTACCTCATGATCTCAGACCAGTTTTTTTTTTTTGTTGTCATTTTGTCATCTTGAATTTCTTTGTTTCCGTCATTGAGATCTTATTATGCAGTCTACACCTCATGGAGGACTTTGTATAGTTTGTAATAGAGAGCTTATAGTATTGTGATGCTGGGGCAGATTCCTGGTGTATACTTGCCATAAATTTCACAATATGTGACAATTCTGTGCAGATATTGGATACCAATCCCCAACTGTTTTTCCATCTACAACAGCAAAGGTTGATAGAACTCATTCGGAATGGAAAAGTTGAAGAGGCTTTGGAGTTTGCTCAGGAGGAGCTCGCACCAAGGGGAGAGGAAAATGTAATCCTGAGCTCTTTATAGCTATTCTTTTACCTGTTTTTACCATTTTTCTTCTTCATTCGAAATGAGATTCAAATTATATATATTGTTCTGCTTAAGTCTTAATATTAATTGAAAAGCTCCTGCAATGAAAAGTTTCAGCTTCAAACTATATTTTGCAAAATTTTGGTGCTAACACATGTCCCTTAAGCCAATTGTGATTTTGTGCAGCAAGTTTTTTTAGAAGAGTTGGAGAGGACTGTTTCTCTGCTGGCATTTGAAGATGTCACCAACTGCCCTGTTGGAGAGCTTCTGGACATATCACAGCGCCTAAAGACTGCAAGTGAGGTGAATGCGGCCATCCTTACAAGCCAGAGTCATGAAAAAGGTTAGTTTTTTTTTTCCATGAAAAAGGATCTAAAGTATGTCTGAATATGTCTCATTATCTTTTTAGTTTTTTGGGGTTTATAATTGTCACAATGTGGATTAGTGGTTCCAGAAATTGGGGAAAACGATGCATTCTAACCAGAAGCAACTACTTTCATGTGCAGAAATATGGATATTGAAACAAAAAATTGTGATGATAGGATGGTCAACAATCTCACAGTTGTGTGTGTTTGTGTGTGTGTGTGTGTGTGAGAGAGAGAGAGAGAGAGAGAGAGAGAACTCAAACGCTTCCATTTTCAAGAATTTCCCAAAAATCTGCAAGAATCAATCGCTATTCATTCTTTCAAAAAAAGTTATCCCAATACATCTAATTTAAAATTTCATGAAATCAAAACCTGAATGTATTGATGGACTCTTTGATGCAAAATCCTTCACTGTATTATTGCATAATTGGTCTCAGTACAAGAGGATTTTGCTGTTATTGATGGTGATGGAAAATGAGCCTTTGCCCTGTCCATCATCAACACTGTCATGGGGGATCGATCATAGATCGGATTCGGCTGAAATTGATTTTGATTTTGTCTTCGCTTTTGAAATTATGTGTCATATTATTTGCAATTTGATTTTGAGTTTGTGATTGTTGTTCTTGTTCTTAGCTCCTAGTTGGGTCAACAAGGAAGCTAGATTGGTGAATAAAATCACAGTAGTATTGGCTATGTCTGATGGAGCTTGGTTGTGTAATTTTACATCTGTAGTTTATATGGGCGGTAGTGGAGTTATGGGTGTTGTGATAGAGGTGGAAGTGATGGTTGCCGCTGATTATGACAGTAATGAACAGTCACCAGACTCACCACAAGAGGGTTTAGTAGGTTTTATGATGTATCTACCGAGAATACAATGAACCTTAAATTTAATATGGAGTGTACTTTGGCTTTGGATCTTTTTTTTTTTGGTTTCTGAGGGTAAAATGAGCAATTTGAAGAACTTATGAGATGATGATCATACAAGTGTCAACTGTCTATGTCTTTAGCACCTTGATCAATGGAGACTATTAACCACCATCTACGCTAAAAGCCCAAGCTATTAGAGAGGGCTTAACTTTAATATTTAAATTCTTCGACACGCACCCTCAAATGTGGCCTTCTTTGGTCTAACACATGTTCCAAATTTTAATTATTGGGTGACGATAAGGCTTGAACACTAGACCTTGCCTTCTTTGATACCATGATATTCACTATCTATTCTAAAAGCTTAAGCTATTAGAGAGGGTGTAATGTTAAGATTTAAATCCTTTAACGCAGACCATATAGATATTTCAAGGAGGTCAGTGTAATTCACCCTCTTGTTAATTTGTCTGTAGTGTTTGGTGGTACAAGTAATTGAATTATGAACTTTATAACATGACTTTGCAGCTGACCTAATAGGCATAAATGGTCTTTACTTTTTTCACTTTTTGGTTATTTTGCAATATGGTGTCCAAAATTCGTGGTAAATGATTCAAACTGCCTGCAAATGTGTAGTCTAGCTTTTCAGTAACTGTTAATCCACAAAATGGACAATAATATTACCATCTAGCTTTAAGAAGCATGTAATAGTGTGGTCTTTTTCCCCCTTTCATTTGCTACGTTATAATTAAATTAACATAGGGCCCACTAAATAAATCTATCATATGCATTGGCCACTATAGTTATTTTTATAACCTATGTTTGAATATGGTTTAAACAATGCTCTGTTTTCTGAAGGATACTGCTAAAAAAATTGACTGACCTGACTTAACTGGCTAGTAAATTTCTTACTTAGTTTTTTCCTTGTAATTATCAATGATTTTTGTGAATGATCAATTGAAATGCAGACCCAAAGCTACCCAGCTTATTGAAGATGCTGTTATGGGCCCAGAACCAACTTGACGAAAAAGCTGCTTATCCTCGCATTAAGGATTTATCTACTGCCACATTTGAAGATCCCGCTGTTTGAAAGGTGCGAAACACCCTTGTGTGGATGATCCAGGTTTGCGAGATATCACTAGCGCGGGTTGAACAGAATGAGCAAATGGAATAGAAAACCATGCACCGTTTGTTTAGGGAAATACTGTAGGTAGGTAGCTCATCATGAGTGCCATTTACATTTCTAGATTCCGATTGTGCAAGTGTGTTGTTACATTTCATCTCGAAAGCTCTTCCGAGCCCTCAAGTCATTGTACACATAATTGTCAATACTTGCTCTATTTTCAATTTTGTTCTTGTATGGATGATTTCTTTGGCAGGCGGTGTGAAACAGATTAGAATTTACTGAAGCCGAACCAGTTTCTAACTGGATAGAATGCACTCATGATCCATCTTCTGTTTCATTATGGCTGTTGTCCTTGCAACCAAACATTATTGTCTGATACTGCAGGTTCTACTAAATTGTAAAGCATTCTTTTTAACTGATCCTGGTGCGTCACTGCTCTTTATCCAATTTTTTACTACAACCCATTTCATTTAGGTTGCATTTGGGTTGATGCTCATGAAAATGAATTTGAATTTAATCTTTTTGAAGGATTATTCATGCATTGGACTTGAATTTCATCAAGATCGCTAGATGGATTTGAGTCTTCTCCTATTTTTTTTTTTTTTTTTTTTTTTTTAATGTCAGGTAAATACTCACACACAAATGCTTGTTGCTTGAAACCTCGTCTCAAAGGAGAGGTTTAGGCCCCGTTTGACATGCGTTTTGTTTATATTGTTTTTGTTTTTGAGCTGCTTCAATGTTGATTTTGGCAACAAAAACATATTTGATGCGACCTTGTTTTATTTTATATGGTGTTAAAATACTTTGTGAACAGTGGCCCAAAACTAAAATACTAAAAAGTTGTTTTTTCTTGTTTTGACAACTGTTTATGGCCAAAACCATAATAGTAGCATAACTGTTTTCGACATTTTCACAGCAAACGTTTCCAAATGTATTTTCGATTTTTTTCAAAAACAACAAAAACACTATTTATGTTTTAGCCAAAAATAAAAAACATAAAACAAAGCGTATGCCAAACAGGTGTAGTGTCATTTTTTTAGATATTGGGTCCTCGGGTAGGAAAAATTATTACATGATCCGACTGAAGAAATTAAAACACCCAATTTTCAATTACGGAGGTTTATTTGGTGTTTTGATTGGCCGGCGTATTCAATAATCCGATTATTGTATATTATTCCCTCTTCTACCCTCGTAGCCAATCCAAAGTTCAAAGCACAACTCTTCTATTTGCTTCATGGATACCAAAACAATGAATTTTGAACTCATACAAGAGCATGAAGAATAGTAACTAAAAAAGGAGATTCTAAAAGTAAAATAGGAGAAAATCCAAATCATTGGCAGAACAAGTAAGGAATTGGTTCGCTCTCCTACACAAAAGTGAAATTCCATGAACAGAGAGACACTGAATAATTAATTATAAGCATCATGACATTACTAAGACTTCATTTCACCCACAATACATAAACCCAAATAGTGGATTCTGAAAACTCCTCAAGTTTAGCCCCTTGTAGTAGTAACAATGCATTTGCTCTTCCTCTTCCTCCAAAATCACAACCACCCTCATCGAAGTTGAGAGCATAACTGGATGCATCGTAGCCGAACTTCAACTGCCGTTTGCCGCCATTCTTCGCCGCCTTCTTCGCCGCCGCTCTCACTCTCCAGAAAAAGCTTCTGCATTGCTTCTTACTGTACCTATTCATCAACACCAAACTCCCTAACCATCCCATACTCTCTCTCTCTCTCTCTCACACACACACACACACTATATATATATATATGTATATATAATTATAGAAACCCAATTTGTAATTTTTCAAAATTTCAGAGAAAAACCCTGCAAAGTTCTCAAGGAATTACAGTAGTTGGGTACTAGTTATTATAGTGGTGAAGTAGAAGAGAGAGAGAGAGAGAGGACAAGAAATGATAGTGTGTTGAGGACTCAAAAGACCATGATTAGTGAAGAAGAAGATTGGGATTGGTCTAGTCAATGAGTAATGCTGAGTCTATGAAGTTTGTTTTTTGGTTTAGAGTTTTCCAAAAAAAGGAGTTGAACCCTTTATAGTGTAACAGAAATGAGACCAAAAGCAAAACACAAAAATTGCATATCTTTGGGCCTCTCAAAGAAGCTGCGCTTCTCTCTGTTGCAGTCTTTTCCCCAGAGCCTTTACTTTTTGTGGCATTGGGATACTAAAATTCCATATATACATATATATATATATATGTGTGTATGTATATACTATAGAGAGAGAGAGAGAGAGAGAGAGAGAGTGCAGTGGGCAGAGCGCTTCCCAATCGTCCTATCACTATCATAACTTGTTGGACTTCATCGTAGCTCAGTTCCTCCTCACTTGCAGATGAATTCCTCATCCCTTTTTAACTGTAACTTTTGTCTAATTTTACACATAAATTTCGCCAAAGTTTTGTCTAATTTTACACATAGATTTAGTCAAATTTGAATAACAAAACAGTAGAACGGAACAATGATAATTAGTCTATATTGTTTGATCTCTTTTCTCTAAATCAATGTTGAGTGTTCCTACTCTTCCAGGACAATATAGTATATGTGTGTACGCTTACTCACTAGACCCTTTCAACAAGAAAAAGAAGAAGAGGCAATCGAGAAGAAAAAAAAAAAATCAATGGGCATCAGACTAGATGGCACAAAAATAAAAATTGAATAAAAAAATCAATCCAACATTAGTCGAGATGGCCCAAAGGATAGATTAAGAGTTCGAATACATCACCTAAACTTCATCCGAATTTTTTATAATTTGCTGCATCATTTTAAAAATAAAAATAAAAATAAAAATAAGTTAAATTATTAGTAGTTTTCAATATTTGGTTCTTGACTTCTAATATGTGAGTATTGACTAGTGTTTTCTAAGACAGAGTACTATTGTTAGCAACAAAGTAGCTGTCCTCGCACATGCACATGTATGTTATATGGGTGAAACATGACTATGGTTTTACTATCCTATTGCTTATTGAGGTATTGGGATTAGTTCTGATGAAAATAAATGGATATGTGGTCCATTATGCAGACAAACATCTACCCACATATAAATACACACAGTAAGATGGACATATGTGTGTATACATAATTATATATATATACATGTATATGTATGTATATGATAAGTCAATTCAAGTAAACCCCTTTTTGGGTGGAATCTGCTTTGTCTACAACAGAACAGATGGTCATGTGAGAGGAGGTTAGTGGTGCCTGTAAGTACCTTCTGGGCTTTCTTTGAATTCTTCTCTTTTTGTTTTGTCTTCAACTCCAAAGCCACTTCGCCTTTACATATTCTCATTAAATGCCCTTTGTTTTTTCCAACTCTCTCGTATTCTTCTATTGGCCCACCAGTATATCTATTATTGTATCTATATGTTGATTTTATGGTCCCAATTTCTTTCACAAGAAATTGTCATTATTTCCTGCAATCCAAGCTTTGTCTTGATAGCACTGTCTTGGATATTTGATGTTGTCTTTTTGACATGGGAGTCCTGTGCTTTTTAAGGAATTGTAAGATTAATGGTGTGTTTGGACAAGTGGAAAAGAGAGGGGGAGAGAGAGAGAGAAAATGAAGGAAAAGAAAAAAAAAAAAAAAAAAAAAAAATCCCTTCTTCAATGGTCTCCAATCTTATGTCTAACTTATAGAAAATACGACATTCATTTCTGTTTAGATTAATTTAGGTATAAAATTATATGGTGATAATACAGTTTATAGTTACACAAGTGATGAACTTATCAAAAAAAAAAAAAAGTTACACAAGTGATGACATGATACGGGTTTTTTTAAAAAAAAATTATGATTGGAGATGTTTGGAGAGGAACTATTTGAGAAGATAAATTATAAGATTCTAATGTCACAAGGAGTCCTAATAAAAAAAGATAAGTTGACTTGTTATACAAAATAGTCATACGATGTAAGGAAATTCAATATTTGATGTCGGGTATCTCACAAAGATGGATCTCACCATATCGGTTTTGGTGAGTGGCTTACCATCACCTATGTGAAACACCAAACTAGTCGGATATCGTCAAGTTTATCATCATTCATGATAGAAATCACGAACTCTCTTGTCGTTCCCTTCTAAAGATTTTCCATTTTAGGAGGATAGCTACTTATTATACTATTCAAGGGATTGGGTTCTCCCTCTTGTTCCTCTCCCTTCCTTTATCATTTGTTAAACAAATAAGTTTTCTCTTGATCATTTTCTTCCTTTTCCCTCCAACTCCTCAATGGAATTATTTTTCTCTCATTCACTTCGCTTTCTATCTAATCCCTTGAATTAAACACACTGATGCTGTATTTGGGAGTATGATTCTTTAAATTTAAAAGTGAATAAAATTTAGCTCAAAATTTTAACTAAAATTCTTTCAGTTTAAAATCCAATCCAAAGATTCAATACTCCCAAATATAACATAAAAATTTACACAACGGAAACTTTAATATTTTGAGAGTTTCATAGACAAATTCAAAGATTTCTTAGTGAGAGAAAATTTTGGTTTTCCAAAAACAAATTATTTGAGAAATGGGCTTCCCTCGTGGGAAGTCCAGTAACGGTCCAAAAGGCTTCATTAATCATTATATATTTGGGCTATGACTAGTATCATCAAAGCCCAACACACCTTTATAGCACCCTATGTAAACAAAATTTTATTTATTTGTTCAAGGCAAACAATATGAATTTTTAACTGAAATCAAAGTTAGTGACATGAACTTACAACATACTACAACATAGATGAATGTGAAGGTTTTTTTTTTTTGTTTTTGCTTTGGAAAACAACACAAACACAAGAATGTTGATTGGTCTTGTCTTGCTTTTTTTGATCCACAAACATTATATACTGTATACTATGATGATCAATTGTACTAATCAAAATTAACATGTTCAAAAGCAGATAAAGAAGATCTTTGGAACAGAAATATATAGTTAATTTATTGTGAACTTTTAATTTTAATAATCTCAAAACACATTTCTTGATTAGAAAAGCAAACTGTCTCGCGCCGAACTTATGTAGGCTGAATGAGACCAAAGTGTGAGATTCAAGATTTACATATAATGTGAATTGATGGGTATATATCTCATATGGATTTGATCCCTCTTCTTTTTAGGTGCTTTTTCAGAGTGGTTTCCCTGTTTACAAAGTATAAAATAGAGTTTAATTTTCGGAATAAATTTTTATATGGTCCAAAATTACGTGGTTCTGATCAATCACAATTCGATACGTATGTGTCAACTTTATTAGTATTTTGTTTGCATATCGAGTTGTGATTGACCGACGTCATACAAGTCCGTATTATATAATAAATTTTCTTAACAAAGATGTGTTTA